TGTCTATGTGCCCTCCACATGTAATTTGAGCCCCTGATAAGTAATTCACCAAAGTTGAAATCCCATCAATGGAGCTGCCATGGAGAGACCTGCCCAGCACAGCCAAAGTTCCCAGGTACTGCCTAGAGAGGAGCCAAGCAGCACCTCTCCAGTCCATAGGAATGCTGTTGTCAAGCACATAGAGTATGGGATGGCCCAGACAGTATCTCCTTAAGAGCCTGTTATGCCTCAATACTTAAAATTTTAAAAATGGGGGAGTGAAAGAGAGAACTCCCGGTGAGTGAGGGATCCTCTTTTGAATATGTGTGTCATGAACCACATGAATATATGAACACAAGAATACAAGAACCAGAACCATGACTCCAAGTGTGGTTGAGAGGACTTGGGAGACAGGCAGTGCTGCAGGAGTGCTTCAATGAGCTATTGGGCTCTATTGAGTGAGGGCTTCCCACTAACCAGAAATGCTTCCATCCCATCCCCTCACACAGACCTTCTCCTCTAGAGAGGGTGTCCCTGACTCTCACTAAGGACCTTGGCGATCCTCCAGTGTTGGAGTGAGGGTCTGACTGACCCTCAGCATGGCGGATGCTGCCGGCAGATGCTTAGTCTGAGGGACTGGGGGGACCCCACATGAAGTCTCCAATATGAAGTCGCACAGGAACAACATATCCCGCTGTCTGTCTGAGGTTCCCCCCTCCACATGGATTCAACAATTGTGCAATTCCTTGTCCGCTCTGAAGCCAGGTCCCTGCAGAGCCTGACGCTCATTTCTCCCAGGCTGGATGCTCCTGCTTCCTCCAGGCACTTGGCTTAGCATAAGTCACTGTGGGGTCATGACACCCATTCTACAACCCACTCATAAACATTGCAGCTGCTTTGGGCAGCCTGACTGGCCTGGGCAGGTACTGCATTGGAAGTAGCAGAGAGAAAACCTCTCCAGAATGTCACTGGCATGACCCCAGCACCACCAAGGAGCTGCAGATCTTTGCAGCTGTGGGCAGTGGCAACACAGGGCAGAAAAAACACCAGATGCAAAAATGACATCCCACTTGGAAGGACATCAAGAGCCCCTCACTGTCAGAAGCAGTGTCCTGAGGTTTTACAGCCTGGATACAGACACCAGAGCTCTGGAAGCAGAGGCTCAGCCAAAACTTCTCTGAATCTGACCATGTTGGAGCATCTGAGGGAGAGAGGACACCTCCTGTCTTATCCAGGCTCCTAGAGTTGCTGCCAGGCAATAAAAACCAGTGAAGGACTTGATAATGTGTATGTATGGACAGACAGACTAACAGGTCTTAACAAAACCTTTCTTTTAAAAATATAATTTTTAATTTAAATGCAAATTGGGTGCTGCATTAGCTGTAGGTCACTTGCACTGATACACTGCTTAATTAGCAGGGATGATGTTCAGGAAGCAACAGCACAAATGTTTGGCCCTTTCCTGGGCATTTATTTTAATTAAATTTTTTCAGGATGGGATCATTCCTGTTCTACAGAACAGCTCCTCACCCGAGTTCAGCCAGACCTTTTCCAAGCCACACATGCTGCCAGGAATACTCTCAGCAGGCTGTCAGCTATTAATGGAGCAGGGCACATTTATATTTGCATCTCAAAATCCCCTTTGGCAAATCACAAATCGCAGCACTCTGCTCAATAGATGCTCCTGCAGCATCCAGCATCAGGAAAATGGTGTCAGTGATAAATCTGTGCAAGGACATAAGAGATGCGTCCAACTGCTGGGGCGAATTACATGGATAAGTCTTCAGAAGATACATTAAACCTAATGTGAAATCAAACCTTCCAAGTGACGAGCAGAGCAGTTATCCTGTGTTACATGCAAGTTATGTGCAATAGGATCTTGTTCAAAGAAGATCTGCCTTTGCCAAGAGAGATGAGCTGGAATGAGAGCCCTGGTCCAAGAGAGAGGATGCTCTGATCTCTGGTCAGGGCTCCTGGCGTGGAGCTTTAACCATTCCCTCGGTCCAGCTCTACCTCATGCGAGAGAAATTCTGACGTGAAACATCACCAGGAGATGGAGAGGGCAGAGCAGAAGTGACCCTGTGGCTGTGCCTGACAGTAACCATTCAGAGTTCAATCAGTGCCATGTCCCTCACAGTGCAGATGAATGGCAACTCACTGGGAGAAAATTAGATAAACAGTGGCCTTAATAGCGCTCCATTGCCCTCCAAATAGCAACCCCAGCCAGGACTGCCTCTGGGCACAGCAGGAAGAGGTCCTTGGATTAAAGGACATGCTCTGAGGTTGTCCCTTCTCTGCTGTGCTATGTTTCAGCCATTTCCATTATGGTCAGCTCAGAGCAGATCCAGAACCAGCCGAATCAGACACACAAAGAAGCACTGGGTGGAAGCCCAGGGCCTGATGCATGCCAGTTCTCCAGAGGGCTGTTCCCTTCCTCCCTTGCTGTCCATAACCTGGAGGGGACAAGCTCACCCATCCTTCTAAAGGGTGTTGGAAATCTCATCTCCAATGCACCACGAGAGCTTACGACCCCTTTTGTCACCTGGGGAAGCCAGGTGACAAAGCCAGGTTCACATGCCCATCACTGCCTGCAACAGCAGACATTCCTGTGTCATCTCTGCCATCACCTGTTCAGTGTTGTTGGTACTTAATGCTCCTATGCCACCGATGTCTGGCTGGAGGCAGCTGATGCGCTCTAGGGTGGTGATCCCCACTTTTGGTGTTCCCAGGGAGCCACTTCAGGGCCAAAGCCATAAAAATTAGGATTTGGAGTTTATTTGTTCCCTGTACTCCTGTCTGTCTATGAATATGTGGGTTCATTCTGAAAAAGGACCCTGTGTATCTTCCAGCTTCCTATGTGTAGGGAACAGCAATCTGGAGTTCATGGGGCTCCCGATGCAGGTGACAGCCATGGCTGCCTTCAGATTGGAGTCCAAAGCACCCAACGCTGAGGGTCCAATGGACCCAAGGACTGTCCTCTCCTTCCAACTCAGCTGTTTGCTTATTCCCTTGCTAAACACAGAACTGAGGGACTTGGGGCTCAATTTAGCAGAAGTTGAAGACATCAACCCACAAATGAAGGGGTAACTTTTCCAAGTGGGTGTCTGGAGATACCACAGGGACACATGGGGCTGCTTCCAGAGGGGGCTTCACCCAGCCCCCTGCCCCTGCTCACCTCCCCATGTCACACAGCCCTGCTCATCAGCTCCTTCACTCCACAGTGCCCAGGCTCATGCTCAAGGCACCAACCATCACACCTGAGCCTGGAGACACATCCAAAGGGGCCACAAACTCCTGTGGGAGGGAAGGAGAACCTGGCAGGCAAAAGGGAAGGTGCTTTAATGAAGCATCCAGTATTAAACCACAGAAGGATTAAAGAGAGGAAGGACTAGGATCCTCCACAAAAACACAGTCATTAGTGAAGCCCAAGGGTAAATGCAATTGTTTTCTGGTTTTTTTCCTGTCTTTGATGACCCAGTTTTTTACTTTCATCAGCATCAGGCTTGTGTTAAATTTTAAATATGCTTGGATAACTAAGAACATTAACTATTCATGATCTTATCTGCAATAGCTGTTGGCTCTGACACTGTGCTAGAGCTGATCTTGCCTGGGAAGGCAATAGCTGGTTTTTCCTGAGCATCTTGTTGAAATTATCACAGGGGTGGGGTTCCACAACACTCCTGGATAAATCAGGGCATGTGGGGCTGGTTAGGATCATTGAGGCCATTCTCCTGCAATTGAGTGGCTTGAAAATACTTAAGAGGACACAAATGCTGGGATCTGGGGAATGCTGTGGATACTCAGAATGCTTCAGCTCCAGGGAAACCCCAATATCATTTAGAAATATAAAGGGGTCCTCCTGAGGTGGCAGGTGACTCTGCTGTCTCCGCCCAGCCAGGTAGTGTCCTAGTCCAGGCAGAGGCTGAAGGAATCCCTGATTATCAGGAATGTGAGCTGATAAATCACAGAATCATTGAATGTTTTAGGCTGGAAGGGACCTAAAAGCTCATCTCATTCCACCGCCTGCCCATGAGCAGGGAAATCTTCCAGTAGACCAGTCTGCTCCAAGCCCTGCCCAACCTGGCCTTGGACATTTCAAGTGATGGGGCAGCCACAGCTGCTCTGGAAAATCTGTGCCAAGGCCTCAGAACCCTTACAGGGAAGAATTTCTTCCTAATATCCAATCTAAACCTTCCCTCATCAGCTTGAGGCCTTTCCCCCTTGTCCTGACACTGCATGCCCTCGTGCAAAGTCCTTCTCCAGAATAAGCATGGAGGTCAGTGTGCCTAGGGTGGGGGGAATAAGGCACATGCAGCTCTTGGGAGCCCCTTCCCTGGGTGTAAACATCTCTGTCAGCAAGAGTAGAGGATGAAGCAGCTGCAAGAGCTCAAGTTAACCTGGGAAAAGCTAGACAGTGCTGAGATCTGGGAACAGGCACAAGAGTGAAGAACACAGGACAGAGCACAGGAGAACAAAGGTGATTAATTATCAGAGCATGAACCAGCAGAATGCAGGGAAAGAGAGAAGGAATTATTCAAAGGAATAAAAAGCTCATGCTGGTTTCCAGGAGGGATTGGACTAGCAGCATCTCCTGCAGCTGGCACGTGGGAGATGCTCCCACCAACTTGTGCTGACAGTTCATTGCTGGAAAGAAAATCTCCTTTTCAGAGGATCCAAAGTGCAGGAGGGCAGCACTGGAAAAGCAGGAGAAAAGTGTGAGGAGCACAGCGATCTGCAAGGCTCCTGGCTCAGAGTTAACACTACCATGGAAGAACCATCCCTCCACCATTTTCCAAAAAGCGTACCGGCACTTCCTAAAGGAAAAGTGAAATGAGACTCACGGAATCAGAGAATGGTTGAGATGGAAACACCCTCTGGAGGTCACCTTGTCCAAATCTCAGACTCCCAGGACCATGTCCAGTTGGCAAAGTTTACTCCAATTTTTCCCCCTATGAATATTAAACACCATAGGACAAAATATAATTACTCCATTTGCAAACTAACAGAGTTACAGTGAATGCTCAATGTATACAGCATTTTATTGTTTGAACATATGTTACAATGGACAAACATATATTACATATTACATATGCTATACAAAATATACATTCTGCTGTGAAAAAAATATAAATAGACAATAGGAACTAGCAAGAGGGAACAGAAGCAGCTTTGCTCTTGCTGCTTCTGACCCCTCTCAGTTTCTGTACCGGTAGTGCTTTGGCATTGATTGAGGCAATTGCTCGTTTTTACTAACAAAAGAAAGGCCACTCTGTCCCTCTGCAAAGGGGAAACAAGACACACATGATTTTCTCTTCCAAGTCTACCAAAGAAGTTTTTCCACAGTGCAGCAAAGTGTCACCTACTTACAAGCATCAGCTATTTACAACCAGCTTATGGACTTTAAATGCTTATGAAAGGATGTAAATGTCTTAATTCAGGATTCAGCTTTTATAGGCTACTCTCTCACAGAAATCAGAGCAGCTTTAGCTGCACCCTCTGACAGCTAGCATAGTCCTGGTGCACACAGCAGTAATTTTAAAGCCCTGGCCCAGGCCAAGCAGGTCTCACCTACCTAAAGGGAATTCCCTTGCTCCAGGGCGTTGTACCCCAAGTACTCTCAGGGTCTGGACAATGCCAGATGTACTGTGACAGATCTCCGTGAGCTCAGCTCCTATGAAGCGAGAGAGGAGTGAAAGAAATAGGAACAAGCATTTGCCAAATGGCAATGAGAGAGCAGCAGGGATGTGGTTTTCCCACTGCTGGGAATCACAGATGCCAGCAGCACCTTGTCCCAGTAGCCTGAGTGAGAACTGGCTGAGAGAGCAGCCCAAAATGATAAGGCTTTGCTGCTGCTGTAGTTTCATGGCATGACCTTTTTCATCTGGATTTAAACTGACAGTGCTGGATCCCTGCAGCAGGGATCACTTTGGATTCAGAATAAGCACTGTGCCTTAAATGCCATCTGGGAAGGAAAAGTCTGGAGGAAATAAAACCAGAAAGAAATGTTCTTGGTTTGGGTTTTTTTTTTAAAGCTTTCACCTGTCAAAATCCCAAAATTTACACACCTGTGTTTCTCTCTAGTTACCCACAGGTCAAGGACAATTGCATCCCCTTCCCACTAAAGCTGCTGTCTACCAAAGCAGCCATGCTGGCTTTGAGAGCACGGGAAGAGGCCTTAAAAATATTACTCATTTGCAATGATTTGACTATTATTCCTAGCCAAAGAGCCATGGAAAAAGCATCATTAGTCCCAGTGTTTCCCCACTCATTAACTCAAATACTTCACCACAGTCTCTAAATTCAGCTGTGATTCTGTACAACCAGACCTGACAATTGAGTCACAAACCCTTCAGTCCAGGAATGGATCAATGGGAACTGCCACATACCTATAACTGAGCCGGGCCAAAAAGGGGTTTCTGTCTTTATAAAAATATCACACAGATGGTTTTATTTGGGTACAAATCCTACAGCTCCAAAGCAGGCAGCAGTGACCAGGAGGGAAGCACCTCACTCTAAAGGCGTGACCACAGAGCACAATGTACCCACTGAAAACCCATCCCTGAGGAGTCTTTTAACACCTTCTACAAAAAGGGACATATTCCCCCAAAAAGAACAACTTCCTAGAAAGCCTTTATAATGTCATTGTTCTTTCCCATTTTCTCAGGCACATCTCACTGAAACTATGGAGTCTGAGCTTCCTCTGTGTCAGCAAGATTTTTCAGTAGTGAGGAGTTCCCTGCATTGTATCATTTCTCACCTGTCAAATATTTAAACATTTTGACCACACTTAAGATTTAAGGGAACTATTAGTTCAACAATGTAGCCTGATATTTTACAACAGAAAAGGAACAGTGTTTTAAACTCCATATGCCTTTGGCTATGCAGAAGAAATAAGTATTCATCAAGTGCTCTCTCAATTTACCTCATGCTTTTCATCACCACATTATTTTTAAAAGTTCACTTAACTGTCAGCTAGGAAACATATGGAGACCCTCTCAGCAGATACAATACAAAGGAGTTTTTTTATAGATAAAAGCTTAGATAAACCTTGAAATTCTGCTACTATCATGAAATGGATCAGCTTGCAGCTAGGTCAGCCAGGCACACAGTTGTAGGCAACAATGAAATTCATCAATATCACAGTTCTACCACATGTCTATATGTAAATGCACTTTTCAAAACAAAGACAGCTCTGTTCCCTCACAAACAAGCTTTCAGTTCCCCCAAGCTCCTCATATGGCTTGATATGCAGCTGTCAAGACTAACAGTATGATACATACTTTGGCATAATAAAAAATAATTTACATTACAGTCAACACATTTATATGCTTAGTGTATACAAAATATTTATAAATGTGAGTTTATTTACAACTAGAGTCCATTATTCATAGAAGAAAACAAGCCCCAAATTTAGACTGCCAACAGATACCTACTAACAGTGTAAGGAAGGAAAAGCTGGCCAAGAGTTTTATGCTTACAGTTCTGGGGGAATTCCGTGAGGAGGCCCTGATGGCTTGTTTCCAAGCAGACAAAGCCCTGTGAAATAGCTACACACGTTCTTGAGAGCTTTCCAAAACATGCACCACCACAAAGACTGCTTCCAGCATCACACAATCCGTGTTTTAACGCTATTTTTGTAGATGGCACTAATTTTCCATGTGTTCTCCGGTGCACAGTCCCATTGTCCAATGGAAAAATTGCAGAAAAAAGGCCATGTACCATCTCCTTCAAGAGAGTCTGACTCTTTAATACTTACAGACACATAAACAAGCATCTTTGGCCTTGGGGTTGGTACTGAGGTAGTAAATACAGTCAGTCAATGTGGATTTGCTTTCAAAGCTTTTTGAGTGTTTTATGTGGTTTCACTGTGGTCATGAATGTTCTGTGTCCTGTTAAAATCAAAATTCTCCTCCTGTAGCCTATGGCAGGGTCTGGGCGATGCCTGGTCCCGGTCTCTGCTGGCGATACCGTCACCCCGGAGCAGCTGTGGGGCCTCGTGGGCCAACGGATGGTGCAGGAATTGGGGGTGAGAGCAAGCCAGGTCTTTGCTGCCTCCCCACAGAGGAACCTGGAAGGGCTCTGAGGGAGAAAAATTAGAAGATGAACAGAAGCAAGTTCATAGAATTGAGGAATATTCTAAGTTGGAAGGGACCCTCAAGGATCGTTGCGTCCAACTCCTGGCCCTGCACAGACACCCCAACAATTCCACCCTGTGCCTGAAGAGCGTTGTCCAAACACTCTTTGGGCTCTGGCAGCCTTGGGGCCATGACCATTCCCTGAGGAGCCTGTTCAGTGCCCGAACACCCTCTGGAGGAAGGACCTTTTCCTGATACCCAATCCAAACCACCCTGACAACAGCTCCAGCTGTTCCCTCAGGTGCTGTCACTGCTCACAAAGAGCAGAGATCAATCACACTCAGATTTTAAAAATATTTGAGCTCTGTGACTCAGCAATTACAATCTTTCTGAGCTGATTTTCTCTGGTTTTGAGAGTATATTTTACTAGATGCGCTCCTTTTCCAGCGACCTCTTACAGTAACCACGAACACACAGAGCTTCAGTGTGAATTTTTAAAAAGGTGATCTGGAAAAAAGTCAACAAAAAATAACCAATTTAGGGAGTTTTTTGAACTTCAGCTGAAACAGAAAGGCTATTTGAATTTCTTATGTGAAGCTCCAACTTTTGGTTAATATATGTCCTTGAAGTATAAGCAAAGGCTCACATTCCACAAACTTAAACCTTAAATTAAGAAATTCTATATTTTTAACATCACCCTCTTCAATTGCAGGAACTGGATGCAAGCTGTTGCTTGCTAATGCAACATGGGCATTTGGAGAACAAGTGGTTAATAAATATGAGTTATTCCACAAACTACTGGCACTTGTGTCAATAGTGAAGGGCAGCATATCAAAAGCCAAAGTTATCAGGGAATACAAAGCAACAAAAGGAAAAGTGGACACTCACCAATAATCTGCTGGGAAGAGATTTTCTTATCACTTTTTTTGTCATGGTTGGTAAGGAAGACAGGCACATCTCTGTCTGCTAAGAGATTACCCAGAGCACTGGTTTCATTCTGGGTGCGTGCTGTATACGTTTCCTTGGACATCTGCACCATGAGATTTGGGAGTGTTTGATCCAGGGGGTCCTCCTCAGTGATGAAGGCATAGGGACAGTACTCTCGGGTCCGGGAGTAGATGTTGGCATTGTCATAGCAATCTGAGCAGATCACTAATGGTGCTGCACTACCTGATGAACACAATGGAAAAATAAAATACTCTAAAAAAGGATGAGGATGCCAGATTTCCATAGGCTTTATGTCCTGGTATGATCATTTATTACAGCAGCACAGATTGAAGGGTCTTTTTACAGTTAAGGGAGTAACAGAGTACTCAGCTTGAGAGGTCACATGAGAAACCCCCCAGGCTCCCCAGTCCAGATTCTCCACAGTAGTCCCCTTCTGAAGCTGACCAGGGGAACCACAGACATGTTCCCCTATTTCATGGGCAAAAAAGTTCAATGCAGGTCCAACCACTTGTGCACCAGGGTGAAACAGCCTAGGGATCAAACCTGCCCACACCCATCTTGGACCTGACTTGCCCCTGCATGCCCATGCACATCAGAGGTGATGACAAACCCGTCACTTAGATGAGCTGCTTCTCCACTCCTTCCCAACACACACTCTAGTGCAGTGGGACTGGGATGAAGAGATCATGAACAGGTGTGAAAAACTTACACTGAGGATCGATTTTCAAGCCAGCCTATGTAAGGAGTGATGAGTCCTCAGCATTTTGATGGCAAAGAGAGCACATCTCTCTAAGCTCAATGACATGAACATCCAGAAAATTGTCCAAACAAGGTAGGGAAATAGTGCAAACCCCTTAGTTATGATTGTAACAAGCCAACCAACTTTAAAACAAACCAACCAACCAGCCAACCTTATACCAAGGATAGGAGTCACAGCTAGTCATCTTCTAAGCAAAATCTATTTCCATCTCTTCTGCCTGGGCTCTTGAGATGCCAACGGAAAGAAACAGGATAAAGATCTATCTTGACACTTAAGCTGTGAGGATGAGACTGTGCATTGGTATCCTGATGAGGCTCTGGCAAACACACCTGAGGCCTTTGCTTACCATCTGTGCCTTTGTGCATGTAGCTGCCAGCTGGAGGCATCAGCTGCTGATGGCTCCCTGCCTCCAAGTTACTGTAGCCTTCCTGAGGCTCAGACAGTGTTCCTTGGGAGGACAGGTAGCTGGGAATGTCAGCAGGTAGGTTCATCTCCTCTGCAAGGCAGAATTAACATTGGCAACATTAAACATTGGGAACATTTCAAGGTATTACCAGCACTATTCCCCACGTTAACAAGAATATCCAGAATTTCAACTCACATACGGGTATCTTTTTTTCTACCCCAGTAATTACAAATCCAGACGGCCAGTTCAAAGCTGACAGGGCCAGGAAGAAACTTTACACCTATTATTCCAGGCCCGGAAAACATTTCTAAGTTTATTCAAACACCTACTTCCAAACTTTACTGTTTTCCCTCAATGTACGGCAAACCTACTGTATAAGGAATAGAATTAGCACACTTCTGGTATTTAAAAGAAATTCTAAAATGGAGGAATTTGAGCAAAACCCTGAAGACATTTTAGAAGGAAATCTTCAGTTCTTTAATCTTATCCATTTGTAACAAATCCAAAAATTGCAAGTGTTTTGGATTAAAAACAGGACCAGAAACTGTTCATTTTACACTTAACCTGTGTTAGTGATGCTGTAGTCTTCATTCTTTCTCCTCATGTGGTAGATGACGATAACCCACACCAAGGATGTTCCCACCACACAACACACAACAACGATAATCACGATCCCTACTGTTGTCCAGCCATCCTCTTCATGGACAATGGCACTCTGGGAAGAATCACAGTTGGGGGAAGCCAGGACATTTAGATAAATATGGCCACGCTCAGTGCCTAGTGTGTTGGACATGATGCACGTGTACTTCCCAGCATCCTCCAGCCCCGCATCCACTATGATGAGGAGCTGATTTGCTGCCGCGAAGAAATGCCGCTCGGTGACTGTCAAGGGACCATCATCCTTGGTCCAGTTGAGGCGAGGGGCAGGACTGCCACCAGCTATGCACTGCAGGACAGCAGTTTCACCTCGGGTCACTGTCCTGTCCTCCAGGGGCCTCACGAAAGAAGGAGTTTCTGGGACAAAAAGTGAAATTGTAAGATAACTTCAAAGAATCATGGAATCCTGTAATTGTTTTGATTGGAAGGGACCTCAAAGATCATCCTGTCCCATTTCCTGCCATAAACAGGGACACCTTCCACTAGACCAAGTTGCTCCAAGCATCTCTTGCACTTCGAGGGATGGGGCAGCCACAGTTGCTTTAGGAAACCTGTGCCAGTCCACTTCTAAATTTGGCCATAATGTTAAGAGTCGGCGTCTTCAAAAAATGCTGCACTCTGGAAGGAACTGGCCTTCCATTATTACTCAGCATAGTTCACAGGATGGGTCAGCTTGGAAGGGACCATAGTGGGTCATCTGGTCCTACCTCCCTGCTCAAGCAGGGTTATCCCAGAGTACATAGGATTGCATCCAGATGGTTCTGGAACATCTCCAGTACAAGAGACTCCACTCTGGGCAGCCTGTTCCTGCACAGTGAAGAAGTTCTTCCTCACATTCATGCAGAACTTGCTGTGCATCAGTTTCTGCCCATGGCCTCTTGTCCCATTGCTGAGCACCACCAAGCACAGCCAGGTCCATCCTCTGACCCCTTCCTACAGGCATGGACACACATTGATGAGAGCTCCTCTCAGCCACCTTTCCTCAAGGCTGAACAAGCCCAGTTCCATAAACCTTTCACAGAATCATTAAACCATTTAGGTTGGAAAAGGCCTCTACGATTATCAAGTCCAACTATTCACCATCTCTTTGTAAGAGTGATGCTCCAGTCCCTTCATCACCTCCATAGCCTCTGCTGGACTTGCTCCAATGATTCTGCATCCCTCTTGTCCTGAGGAGCTCAGAACTGAACACAGCACTCCAGATGTGCCTCACTAGGGCTGAGCAGACGGGCAGGATCACCTCCCTAAAGTACTGGCAATGCTCTCTCTCATGTATCCCAAGACCCCACTGGTCTTCTTTGTGGCAAGTTTGTTACCCGTGACAAAATTTGCTATATGGCAACACAAATTACTTGCCTGATCTATACTGCTGGACTAAGATATGCCCCTCAGCTCACTGCAAAGATCAGACTAACTCCAACTCCGCCAAGCAACTCTGCAACTCAGCTTCTAAAGCTTCACTGTGTAAACATCACACCAAGTGCTGCTCTTTGTATTTTAACTTCATTCTCCACCATTTCAACTTGCTGCTTATAGCTAAGCTACATTTCTGCTGCAGCCGTGCAGGGATCTATCAGCACCGGCCAGTCACACTTACCCAGCACAGTCAGGGTAGCATTGGCTGAGAGTCCCCCAGCGATGTTCTGGGCCATGCAGCTGTAGATCCCCATGTCTTCCATCTTCACATTTGCAATGAAGAACACATCGTCCTCAGGCATGACATGCATCCTCCTCTCTCTTGCAGCAGGGAAGTCTGTGCCACCATCTTTCTGCCAGGAGATTTGTGGGGGGGGATGGCCCTCGGCAGCACACTCCAGCCGGGCCATTGCCCCGGTGCGGATAGTGAGATCCATGGGAGTTTTCAGGAAAGAAGGGAGCTCTGGATCAAAGGGGACATCGATTCAGCATTTTCATTATCAGGTAAAATGCAGCAAAAGCTCCACAGCAGAGAGGAAATTTGAAAACATATCTGAAACACTCCATAAGAGAGAGAAATAGATTCTACTGAAGAACTGCACAATTTTTCAGTGGTTATTTCTAAGAGTCTTTCTCCCAAGATTTAAATACGGTATCTACAGTGTTCATAGAGTCACAGAATGCTTTGGGCTGAAAGAGACCCTTAAGACAATACATGCCCAAGGGCAAGGGGACCTTCCACTCTCCCTTGCCCCAAGCCCTGTTCAGCTTGGCCTTGAACACTTAGAGGGACAGGGCAGCCACAGCTTCTCTGGGCAACCTGTGCCACAGCCTTGCCAACCTCTCAGGGACAAATTTCTTCCTAATATCCAATGCAAACATACTTTATTTCAGTTTAAAGCCATTAAGTTCCTCTAAGATGTTGTGAAGAAGATGATTCTCATGGGAAGGATCCAGGGAAAAGTGTTTGCCACATTTTTCTTCTCTGCTAACAGAGAAGGTAAGCTTCCATCTCATCATCTCTAGGTACTGTGGGGATCAGTGGTCTGCTGACTGATGTCTTACCTGCCATTCCCTCAAAATAAACAGAATCATTGCTTTTGACTTTTCAGAGTTTTTACCACTTATTTTCTGATGAGTCTTCCCCAGTTTTACAAACATGTGGAAAAGGTGCTGAGTTCTGAGGAGACAGTAGAGGGAGCTTTTAGTTTAAAGAATTCCACCTCCAATTAACAAGATGAACAACTAACTCTGTTCTAATAAAGCATGGGAGATAAATGCCACTTTCAAAAAGTGAATAGAGGCTTTTCATCTACAAAAAAAATCACTTATTTCCAGCTTTATAAAATTATGTGTGATACATCTAAATCTCACTGATATTTGCAAGAGTATTTTGGGCCAGCTTTAGTGAAAAATAGACTTGCAGCTACATAATGGAATTTCAGGTTCAGAGTGTTTCTCCTTTTTTACCATTATCACTTACCATTAACAGTCAACTTGGCTTTGTTGGAGTAATTGGAGCCAAAGTGATTGGTGACAATGCACTGGTATTTCCCTTCATCAGTGAAATTCACATTCAAGAGGTGCAGGACAGTGGTGTATTCCAGCACCTCCCCACTTTGCTGCTGGTACCTGGCAAAATTCTCAATGTCAGCATCATAGAGGACCTCACTGTCTTTGCGCCAGGCCGTGGCCATGGGTGAATCACTGCTGCTCACAGCAGTGCACATCAGGGTCACATTTGTGCCTCGCAAGGCCACTGTGGTCTCTGGGTGGACTCTTATCTGTGGTTTAGGGAAATTATCTGAAAAGAAAAGCACCAAGATTAGCTACTTTTCTCTTGAGCAAGAATTAATATTGCAAGAAAACTCACTCAAAAGACAATGCAAGCAAAACCAAAACTTTAGGAAAAGATATCCTGCTTGAGGGGCACAAATTCAGCTGTTTTGAGCTAGAAATCAAGCTGTGGAGGAGGCAGAAGAATCAGCACTGAAAACAATCAGTGTGGAAGTGTGGTGCTGAGCAGCCCTGCCTTTTGTCCAACTGTCTGAAACTTGCTTTATTTAGATCACACTCAAAAATCCCGCTCAGCTGAAGAGCCAAGCCATTATATGAAGGACTGAGACTTACTTTCAGATAGTTTAAATATCCTGAAGAGCCTTGAAGTTCTACAAGCACAAAGCATAACAAGCTGGAACTTCACTAACTCATCCCACTTAATGAAACTGATTTCCATATCCATAAATTCAGCAAAGACACTCTCATAGACACATGAAGAGCTCTGGCTCTACTCAGCCACTGTGGTGGTACTGTGGAGAAGTGGGTGTGTGCAACTAATTTTTTTGTAGCCTTTGCCACAATGAAAGAATTGCATATACACAAATAACTGTTATAAAAATTGCTCACCAGGAAAAGGAAACATCAGGCCTGCCACAGGCTTCACGCAGAACTCTGGGCAAAGTTTGAGACCACTATAAACATCACAGTTATGGAGCACCAGAAAACGTGTCAGAGCCTGAACTACTCTAATTTTTGCCCAGAGCTGTGGCTGTCCCATTCCTGGAAGAGCTTGTGGCCAGGTTGGGCAGGGATTGGAGCAATCTGTTCTCATGGAAGGTGTCCCTATCTATGGCAGGGGTTGGAACTGGATGATCTTTAAGGTTCCTTCCAACCCAAACTATTTTATGATTCTGTGATATTCTGCCATATGAGCAAGAAGCAGGAACAAAGTGTCAAACAGTCCTTACAAAGCTAAAGGTAGTCAAAAGCAGGGAGAATGAAAGCATAATTCATTCTTACTAGAAAGCTAAATAAAAATTAACGCCCAACAGCACTACTCCTTTGGGTTAACTTCAGTGCTCAAACACCACCAAACAGAGCAAAGAGATGCAGAACTAAACCCCAAACTCAGAGCAGACTCGGGGATGTACATGGTCCACGTGGGCACCAAGGCCAGGACCAAGTACCTCCCCAGTACTACAGCTTGATTTCAGCAACAAGACTTGTGTTACTGTGCTTTTGTGTCAAAAGTCACTAAAATACAAACCACAAACAAAGTCATCAGGGTCCACACTGAGAAGGCTTTGTCCTGCCAACCACTCAGGGTGAGCACAGCTGACACTGACAGACTGCAGCAAATGGCTCTCACTCAGCCACTGGGGCAGCCATTTCAACTGGCAATCACAAAGCAAACTGCTTGTGTTCAACACTCTGCAGAAATAGGGCAAAAAAAAAAGGGTGAGTGAAGTTTATTTTACATGCATACGTGGGATTTCACACAGCAAAGCAACTTAAAGCATACACATACAGACACATCAGATTTACAGTATTATTTTATACCTATGGGTATTTATTATAAAATATTGGGAATTTATGCTAGAATCAGTCCCTCTATGTCAGCATTAACACCTAACATTTCATTTTAATCCTGGAGAATATAAACTCAGTTTCAGCTTCCAAAAAAACAATCCCAAAACCACTAAGCCTGTCTTTAAAATTATCTCATCCCTCTTTAAAGCAATTAAAAGAACATAACATTGCAGCACAGCTCCATGTTTCAAACTAAACAGAACTGCCATTATGAAATGAGCAGAAGCCTCAATTCTCATTTTAATGCCAGATGATAAATATTTAAGGCCCAAAGTGATTTCTTTCATACAGCTATCAACTGCAGCTTGTTTTCTTTGCTCCACAGAAAACCTACCAACAGAAAACAATGATGGTCTCTTCTTTCCTACCATCTGCTTTCAAAGTTTGCTAAGTATTATTACTCATTTGCTGGAGTGCCAGACGCCACCTCTGAACTGACTTGAAGAAACTGGGGGACTGAGTTTTGTTTGCCATACTCCAAGTATGAGTTTGACTGACTTGAGACAATCCAGTCTTTAACAAGAAGTGATCTGTCCCAAGATGCAGCCAGTCATGGGAGAAAAGAGGCTCCAAACAAGCAAGGATTCCATCCTGCTCTTTGTCTGTACATATAAATGACCAATCATTTTCAATATACATCAGAGAAGGCAACTTCAACACCTGAAATTGCCTCCTCACAGCAGCAGATCTTGCAAACTAAATCCATCTGGCCAAGGTTAACTAATGGAGTAACAGTTTTAGACCAGGTTACAATAGTCAGAGACTTTATCTTACAGAAAGTATTGCATTACAGTAGTATTAGTCTTGGGTGTGAAGGTCATTTCACATTATATTACTTCATATGAAGACCACAAGAGACCCTATCAGCTTAAACATCTGCTGAGCACATACAAAATCTTGTCTAGCTGTGAATTTTAAAGCCTTTCCTTAGCCCCAAAAAACAGGAAGAAAAACACAGGATTTGCTAATCCCCCTGAGAAATTCTTGATGAATTAATTGTTTTGTTCACTGCCTACATGCAGTGCTGAGATTGCTGCAAAATCATAGGATAAGAAAAGCTTAATGGTTCAGTACTGCAAGTAAAAGTTAACTCCTCCTAATTGCAACTAAGGAAATGCAGTTGAAGATTTTATCAAACCTTAAATCTAAATATTCTGCTACCAACTTTGAGTTGATATTTTACCAGCATTGCTGCAAAAATTTTATGAGGAAAGCAGGCACACTTCAGACAACTTCAAACAACACTACAATGGCTGAAGAATTCTTTCCAAGGTAGGGCTTGTAAAGAATCTAAATAATTGTTATGAACTTACAGCTCCTTCAGGTGAGCCAGGGCAAAGGCATTTTCTTGGATGGACATTATTGCATTGTTGCTTAAATCTCTGTAAGTTAAGCAAAGAGCACAATGAGGAATCAGTGCAATTTTATACACTGCCTTCAGTTAAATACTTTAAAATCTCACAGAGAACACAAGACTGAAGTTGACACATAATTAGGAGTTCTACAAATTAAAATACTTACAGATGTTCAAGTCCTTCGAGACCAGAGAATGCTTTTTTGGTAATTGACTTAATCTGGTTTCCCTGCAAGATTCTGAAAATAAAGGCCCAGAAACCAGTCTGAATGTCAATATGAGTTCACAAACAAGACCCAAAAGAAATACCCTATGATGCTTAACTACATTTTTTTTTTCTAATTCTAGCTGAGATACAGGACTAAATACTATTCTTTTTAGCTTAAAGGCTCAACTAATTTTCCCAAGAACAGGGCTTCTTTCCTATTTTCAACTTAAGATATTTGGGTTAGAAATGTGTCAGAAGATAATTTAAGTCAGGAGGATGAAACAGCAATAAGTAGAACTTGGGAATGAAGCAATAACTTCTTAATACCAACCTGCTACCACCACACGACTTCCTGGACTGCACCCTCACACCAGACTATTTCCTAAAACAACATTTGTAACTACACAGGACTGAGCTTCCTACAAAACATGTGGCACTGGATGAAAAGTGCACAGCCTAATATCAAGTAGTTTGTTAATGCAATAGTATTTCAAATTTGCTCAAAAATACTTTGTATTTTGGGTATTTTGGGTTGGTTGTTTTTTTTTTTTGGTAAGTAGTAACTTTCACCCAAACCAAAGAAGCACAAAAAATGACAATCATCACACAGAGGGAGTGAGGTATTCAATAATAAATGCAGTCAAATACTTATGCTCAATCTCATCAAACTGATGCTGTAAGGAAATACAGTGCTCCATGGATCCGATGCTCCTGAACAAGGAACCCCAGACTACATCAAGTGCTAGTTACACACAAGTGGAAACACTGAGTAGGGCTTTCTGCCTCACGTCATTGACTGACAATTACTTAATATTTTGCACTGTCCCTCTCTGCATGCCTGGGAAGCGCTGTTGTTCCCCTAATTTGTAATACATACAGTTTATCCAGCCTGCTGAGTCCCACAAAAGCTTCATTTGCATCTTCTATGGCCCAGGAGATCTCATTGTTCCTCAAGTCCCTGCAGGAGAAGACATTTCTCAGAAAGAAGACTTGGAACATCATCATGACCAGGGCTAGTGCTGAGCTGGGGAAGACAGGCCAGGTATGAGGCTCTGGCACACCTGGAAGGTCTCTTTTACAAAACTAAACTTGTCAGGAGATGGATTTCTCACTTCAGAAAGGCAAAAGGGAAAACATAATGGTAAGTGCTGCAGTAAGCACCACAAACAAATGCTGCAGCACAACTTCTTGATGTGGCATTTAAGGAAAGCCCCAGTCTGACCAGCACTTTTCATGTGACGGACTATGTGCCAGGAGCTGGGAAAGGCTCCTGAAGCAAGTTGGTTCATGTAAGGGAATTAAGCAACACACTAGCAGCATTAATCTTCACAAGTAACAGGCTTATACCAGCATTAGCATATTAAGGAATTACACCCAGGCTACAGTGTAGGCCTGCCAGGCACACCTTGGTGGCTTCTCAAAATAAAGTTGATATTCTGCTCACAGATCTTGTTATCACCTAATGGTATTTCTGACTGACCTCAGCACAGCACTTCAGCCCCTCATGGAGAAGAGAGGTCTGAATAAAAAAAGCAATAGAGCAATACAGTTTGGAGAGAATTAAATGATCTTCAGAAAGAAAATGAAATAAATTCACATGCATTTTTAGCCTGAATGGCATGGACTGAGCCAAAAGCATCTGTTTTGATACCACCATGCACAGAGAGGAGTGCATTTAAAGGAAATCACACTAATGAAAAATAGTCCAGCCAGTGTTTTACCTGATATTCTATGCAACAGCTAGATGAAGCTTCCAAACAAGTCAACTGACACAAAATTAGGTGCATACACAGGCAACTGTATATATCACTTATATAAACACCTCTTTCCCTATGCTAATGGGGGGAAAATGAATTATCTAGTTTCCCATTATGTCAGACTGTAACTGTGTAGAACACCATCATGGAAGAAACTGGGATCAACCTCCAGGATGCCATCAGTGGTAACACATAATTTTCCTATTTTTCTTACTTTAAAATACAGAAGTCTTGTTAAAACCACACACAGCAGTCACTTTCACAACTTGTATTTATACACTTCCCAGTTTAGGACAAAAAGAAAAGAATTTCATATTTCACGCATCACAAGGTCTGAACAAATAAGGCCTTGAAACTTGCTCACATTAAATCTTTTCCTCTTTGAAAATTATTCAAGCTACGGTGCTCCCAACATGGAGCTGAGCTAATAATGACTATAAGAATAATATACCAAATTTATTTCCCAGTTGCTAATTCTTGTGATTTAAAGCATTTCTAGAATTATCTCAACATCTGCTTCAGAATGCTATATTGTGAGTGCTGGAGAATACAAATTGCCAAACTGCTCACAGTATTATGAAGCAAATAGTGTGATAATACATAAAACTTCAAAACTTCAGGGCTGTTCTTAGATACATCTGTAACCCTAACTTGCAGTCTATGTACAGTTTTACAGTTTATTCTGCTATACTGCAGAGTGGCAGGAGCTGAACATACACAAAATATGTTCTCCAGCTGTAGCACCAAACAACCAGCATACAACCAACAATGGAACTAAAACTACACAGTATCTCCTGGGTTTTGAGGTATTTTCACACTCCACTACTCAGACCACTCAGCAAAATGACTGAGCAGCCCAAAAGAAAAGCCCCTCATTGTGTGAGAGAAGAGCTGGCTACTCATGCCTGGCTGGGCACTAATGCTTGGAGCCTTGTTAATCACCACTGCTCTCCATCCTGCACATTCCACTCCCAAAGCAAAGGGCCAGGCCCTCACTGTTGACACCCCTGAGAGCCCAGGACAACCTACTAATTAATCTGCTCTTGTTCTTTTTCATGCTACTCTAAATCTAAGAAATTAAGTTTAATTATTTCATTAAAAAGTTGTATAAGGTTAACAGAGTATGACTGCTTACATGAATCTCTCTGGTGAGTTTGCTTATTTAAGCATTTATTTAATGAAGCGACAGAGGGGTTATAGATTTTCACTTCTTTCTCAAGTACTGTTGCTCAGGATAATTACAACTGTTCAGATCTACGTGGGAAGGATTGGGTCTCTTTTGAAATATCCCAGATCTGCCAGAAAAGGTCCTGGCAAGTGCAAAGCTGTGCCTTCAACAGCAAGAAGCAACTCTACAACCTCTGTAACGTTTGTGAGTCAGAACATGAGCAAGATGGACTAAACTATCCCTTCTACAACACAATAAAAGGGTTCGGTGTTTGGTTTCTGAGGTTCCAAACCTAAGGAACCCCTCTAGAATAAAGAGCTCCAGGCTATTTGCTCCACAACTGCATTCACAAGGTACCCACATCTCTCAGAAGCGGCAGGACACACATCTGAGCACTCAAGGTCACCAAGTAATTGTTTCTTACTACCTCTACAATTGAGTGGTCAGCTTGTTTTAGCTCGGCTGGAATGCTATCGTCTTGGCAAGCCAAAATATTATCAGCCCTACCACACCTGCAGGCAGGACAGCACCAACAATGATCTCAGGCTCCCACAGTGCAATATCCATAGTCTCTGCTTCCAAAAGCTCCACTTGAACTACAACTACATTAAACTGAAACTTCTGTTTGGAGTTTTCTGTACTTACAAGGTTTGAAGATTTGTCAGACCTCTAAAGACACCATCAGCAATGTGATTAATGCGATTGTCACCCAGGTTTAGCTTCTCCAATAAACCAAGTCCCACAAAGGCAGACTCCTTGAGGCGAGTGAGTTGATTGTATGACAAGTCTCTGAAAACATTCAACACACATTTTAAAGGCAAGCAGGGGGATTAATTATTAAGATACTATCTGACTTGATTAACTATTGTGTTCTAATTTCTCTAACAGAATACTTATAATTAAAATACATCATTGCCATGGGCCTAGCAAGGAAATGGAGTACTTCCTTTGGTAACTCATTCTTGCCAATCAATAACTGCAACATTTCAAAAATCCCCAATGAATAGCAGCCCAGGACTTACAGCTCAGCAAGTCTTTGGCAGAATTCCCATGCATCTGGGCTGATCCTGGTGATGGCATTCTGGCTAACATAGAGTTGTTGCAATGTCCGCAGCCCATACAGCCAGCCCTTGTTTACTTCTGTTAAGTTATTATGTTCCAGTTCCCTAAAGAATTAGATGGGAAAAACATTTGCCAAATAGATTATCAATGTAACATCTACTTATAAAATTTCACCTTGTGGATCTCAAAACTATTTACTAACTTTAAGCCTTGGACAACAAAAAATGTGTGATTCTTTCAATCCCATTGAATTAAAAAAAAATGAACTAAAGTATATGAAGAACTGAGTAACTAAACACCAGCTTCAGGGATCGAGTGGCAGAAACAAAACTATATTCTCAAAAATAATTTTTAAAAAAGAAGTCTTTTGCTAACATTGCATCATACATCCCTGTGTTCACACTGTCAAAGTCAGAGGAAAGAAAAACCCCATGCTATGAGGACTGCAAATGAAAACCAGCAAAAACCAACTACCGAGGCAAACATTCTTGATCACCATGCAGGAAGAAGCTGGAAAGAGGACCAATGTAATGGAATCACAAGACTGGTTTGTGTTGCAACAGACCTCAAAGATCTTCCAATTGCAACTGGGACACCTTCCATTAGACCAGGTTGCTCTATTCAGCCCTATTCTACCTGGCCTTGAACACTTCCAGGAATGGGGAAGTGTATCTTTCCACTCCTGAAGTAATCAGACATGACATAAAAATAATGGGAAAATACTTTTTTCCTATGATTGCGTCAGTATCTCAGCACAGCCTTGATGTAAGGGAATCCAGAGCCATTTTCTTTTTGCAAAAGAAATTCCGCAACCAGTCATACTCACAATTCCTCTATATTACCCAGGCCAAAGAATGCTCCATCCATTAGTCTGCTAATCCCATTGCGCTGCATTTTCAAGGACTTTAAGGATTCCAATCCTTGGAATGTAAGACTTTCCACTATTTTAATCCGGTTCCTTTTCAGTTCCCTTTCATAAAGATGACAGTCAAATATTAAGACACCTTGCAACAAGCACCACTGTGTGACAGTCAAGAACATGCTGAGATTAACAGCTCAGCTGTAAATGTTGTTTTGATGTTTTCAAGACTGTTACTTACAGAAACTGCACATGAGGCAATCTGAAGATCTTTGGTGGAATCATACTAATCCTATTTCTGTTCAGTTTTATCACCATTAGTGAGCTAGATAAGTTATCAAGGCAACCTGCTTCTAGAGTAGTTATTCTGTTGTTACTCAGATTCCTAAGAAAGGAAGGAAGAAGGAAGCAGGTCTTTCAGAACACAAAGAATTTGATGAACACAATGGCACAAGCACCTCAGAGCAACCACTGATTAACAGAACCCAAGACACCTGTGAAGTCACATGAAAAATCTAAATCACCAAGCTAAATCTTTTTTCCCCAAGGAATTGGTGTCAGAAGCTGATTTTTACTGCATGTCCATGTTTCAGTTAGAAGTGGTTAACAAAATGTCCACTCAATGAGTGATGTACTCAGGGTAGAAATTATTCCCTGTTCCTGATGGCTTATGTACCTGCATTCTGACAACAGCAATTGCTGTTCTCTGTGTTATTTGGGAAAATACAATACTGATTGGTATGAAAACTATTTTATTTCAAGGACATATGTAGCTCCATTAAGCACTGCTACCAGTTCAAAGCTGTGTAAGGATGCCAACTTTAAGACACTAATTTAAGAATAAACGAGGTCTCCAACATTATCATTGTAGAGCCAGAAATCCCAGAGACAGCAGATCACTCATACTTACAGGTACTTCAGCTGCATTCGTGGAAAGGAAGAGGCTTTAATTTCTGAGATAAGATTAGAACTAAGATCTAGATTTTCCAATGAAAGGTAGACCTGGAGATGCTCAGCATTTATTTCTGGAATGGTATTGTGTACCCTGAAAAAGATTAGCAATAAATATGATTATCACAACATCTCATCCTTCTAGATGCACGGCTGAAATACCAACAGGATTCTGTATATCAACAGCATTAGTGAGCTTCATGAATAGGACATGCATAACATGCTTCCAAAAGTGTTAATTCCTAAAGCAATACTGCAAATCCAAGAGCTATTTGCCACCATGGCATATGAACAGATTCAAATTCTGAGGCCTATATATAAGCTGGTCCTTGTGGGAAGTGTCGTTCCTGGACTGAATCCCACCCCTTCAAATTGCCTGCCTTGGTTGACTGCATTTTATTGGTAATTTAGGGTGACTTGATTGTCTAAATAATTTGTATTTCTTTAAAGAGTGCTTACATATTCCCTGATGCTCTTTACATGAGCAGTATTTCAAGAAAAAAGACGATGTTTTTCTACAATGTGATAGCAGAACTCTAACATGGTCCTACCATTTGTTAAACAAGAAGGCAGATGAGCTATTACTTACAATGAGAGAAGAGTTATATTGGAAGTTGTTTCTCCAAAATATGGAATTTCACTCAGCTCATTGTAATTCATTTTCCTTAAATAGAGGGCAAAAAAATTACCGACACTTCAAAGAGGAAAAAATCCTTCTGTACACAGCAGAAATAATTCATATCAATGCACTTAAAATTTTTACTGTATTAATAATACATAGTAGTTGACAAAAAATGATCGCCCAAGAGCTTAAATACTAATAATTTGAACAATTTGAACAGCAAAACATGCTAGCTTTTCTCATTTTCATGGATATTGTTACTTCTCTTTCATTTAAAATCAGCTATAGCCAAAACAAACACTCCTCATTTCTCTTTAAAAATACTGGTCTTCTGATCTTTCATGGGAAAGATTTCTGCTCACAACACAAGAGTTTTATACATAAAATGTGCTGCCAACATGGAGCATCAATTTTTTATTAACTTGCACTGAATATTTCTGCAAGACAGACCAGGCATCTTGACATGCAATAAAACATTAGAATTAGGTAGGATATCTTAAGACTTTATCCTCATAAAAAACAACTTACACTTCTTGGAGAGTAGGGACAGACAAATCAATGCTCCAATTGGATGATAATAAATGATTATGACTTAAATCCCTAGAGAACAGAAAAAAAAAGTTATTTAGTTCCTGGAATAATAATTAAAAAACCTAAACATGGCCAAAACATCTATACGTTACGCAATCTCAAGTTTGAAACTGCATTTAAGTATTTTATACAGCTACTCCTTCACTAAAGAAAAGAGCTTGTTTTAGCGGTCACTCACAATTAAAAGTCTAAACAGTTCCATTTCTCTGTTTGAATCAAAAAACTTCTGTTAAAGCTTCTTGATAGGAAGATTGTACCTGACCAGAGAATTCTGGCTTTAATCCAGAGCTTTATTAACAACACTTGTCCACTGTAAGAAGGAAAAACTTTGCAGAGACATGTGAATAATTTCTTACAAAACGCCCGTTACTGAACTGCTTCCTGCAGCGCAATCCCCATTTTCTCAGCTTTCCAAAGATGCTGACTAGCCAAGCCAGGCTTATTTTAAAGGAACAACATACACAAAATTCCCAAACAAGCTGGAGCCGAGAGAACCCTGAGGCTGGGAATCTTTCAGACAGATGCTTTAGCACCAGTTGGTTTTACTTATAGGAATCAAATGCAGGAGTTGGACTCTTTCAATGGGCAAGAGTCATCAAATGCAGCTTTAATGTTCACACTGGGTGTTGGTGCTATTCCATTGCTGTAACTTTACACAGTATTTTACTTTCACCTTGGACTTGGTGCATAAATGCAACAGATACATCCATTTCTGAGCACAGGCTGCCTCTGGTCATGACGTGAGTCAAAGGCGGACTAAAAAAAATCAGATTTATGATGGAAACACGGTCCCAGCCTTTCTGACACCAGAAAGGACAGGCAGATGTCAGGCCAAAAGGTGAAACCAACTCATCTATGTGACATTTTGCTGGTACAAGTCCAGCACAGAGATGAATCTCCCTAAGCTCACACCAAGAGCCTGAGTCATTGTGTCTGAACAGACCTGACACTGCCACTATGCTTGCAGAATAGGACTGGTGCCCTCACCACAGTCGGAAATCTGTTGGTGAGTGCAGGAATAACTGGACACAGCTTATGTCTCTGAGCTATGAAGATGGTGAAGAGTCTAAAGGAGCCATACAAGGAGTAGCTGAGGTCACTCAGCTTCTTTAGCCTGGAGAAGAACAGACTGAGGTCAGGACTCACCAGGGTCTACAGCTTCCTCCCAAGGGGCAGCTCTGATATCTCCTCTCTCTGAGCATGACAAGACCCAGGGGAACAGCTGGAGCTGTATCAGAAAAGGGTTAGGTTGGCTGTCAGGAAAAGGTTCTTCCCCCAGAGACTGGCTGGGCACTGAACAGGCTCCCCAGGTTAGTGGTCAGGGCTCCAAGGCTGCCAGAGTGCAAGGAGCATTTGGACAATGCTCTTGGGCAGAGGGTGGAATTTTGGGGTGTCCTACACAGGGCCAGGAGTTGGACTCAATGATTCTTTTGGGTTTCTTCTAGCTCAGAATGTTCTATGCCAGCTAGTTGCTCTAGCCTAGCAGCAAGGCATCATTCTTCCCTCCCCATTTCCAACTGAGAGCTGTAACAAGGAATCTATAACAAGCTGTTTTCAGCAAAGCTGTTCCACTCCCTATGAGCTCTTCTGGTAAGGTCCTGTATCACTGATCCTCTCATCATTACAGCAGTAGCATTGCATGCATTTATCACAGTCTTAAGATTATCAGGCAGGCAGCAGCTATGCTGACGCAGGAGACAAAATCACACTTTGCAACCAAAACTGTATTTATCTGTTAAAATGAATATTAAAATGTAAATGAGTATAATTCAAAATATTTCCATTGACAACCAGGTTTGGACAAGCCACAGCATCAACACACTCCTCTATTCCTGCAATAGCTTTGGGCCTGTACTTGACTCCAAATAGACCAAGGGCCAAACTTGATCCTATAAAATCATTAACTCCAATTCCTGGCCCAGAACAGGTCAACCCCAAAATTCCAACACATTCCTGAGAGCATTGTCCAAAAACTCCCTGAGCTCTGGCAGACTATTTTTGATCTGTAAGACCACAATCTACTAAAAGACAATATGGACTGACAATTGACAGACTACAGTATAGTTATAGTTGTTAACTTTCACTCAGGTTCAGTGTAAAGATTCAGCTGAATTATTAAAATCCTGGGTGTCATGGCAAGTCAGGCAGTTGTTAATGTATTCTTTTAATTACACCAAGATGCAAATTATACCGATGAAGCAGTGTTTGGAAACAAACAAACAAAAAAAAAATCAAGAGAACCGGAGAGGAGAACTGCAGCCAGCTGCAGAACTGTCCTGCAGCTCTGCTTTCTCAATACTTGTGGTAATTAAGCCAGCCCTAAACACTAGAAAAAACACAGAAACAACGAATCATGAGCTGCCTCTCAGCAGGCTTCCCACCTCAGGGGGCTGACTGTTCAAGACACTCTCTCCAGCTGCCCACATTCCCCTGAACCCCGCTCAGCCCCAGCTTCTGGGCATCCACAGGAGGCTGGCACAGACAGGTGGAGGGAGATATGATCCCAAATCCCAGCAGTAGACTTTCCTGAATTTTTCAATCATGCAGGCACCCAGCCAGTGCTGGCAGTCTAATCTTGGAGCAGTGTATTTAACCAGAGCAGAAAGTACTAAGCCATGATGTTTCCGAAGAACTGGTGCACAACAGATGGAGGAAGGAGATAATGGACATGGAAGGTAACAATGTACCCCTCAAGGTGTGCAGATACTCCACTAATGAGCAAAACCAGGCCATGGGTTCTGAGCCAGACCAACCTGTGTGTCAGGCACAGCTAGCGGACACTGACACAGATCTTGGAAGCAAGATTAATATATATAGAAAATTGAAACTTGTTTTTTCTAAGGCTTTCAGGAAGACTATAAGAGACTATGTTAGCTGGGTAGGGAGCCTTCAACAACCTTCTAGCTTACCTGCCTGACTACTTTAGGACTGACCAAAAGTTAAAATTATTCAGGACACTGAATTCCTCCAAATTCCTCCTAAACACTGACAGCCATGGGGCCTGGGTGATGAGGATGGGCTAACATCCAGCTATCCCTCCCAGAAGCCTACTGTCTAATTACTGAGTTAGAAATTAAGATTTTAATTCAGAAAACACAGAGAATTATTTTTGTATTATTACTCAGATTTGGACTACAACAAAGTTTTCATTACAATAAGTCCTCTTTCAAGAAGTTGGGTAGAGTTGATATTTAAAGTGACTTTGACATTATTTATATCTACGTTCTGTTACTGATGCTTTTCTTGTTCAAACAGACCAACTTATCACAAAATACAGAATGAAACACATTGGCTGATTTTCTGTGTTTAGGGATCATTCAATCACACAGCTAAGATTCCTGTTCTTCTGGAGAACCAGACACGATTCCCTTGTTCTGGAAAAGCCAAAACCAAAAAACCTATCCTTTAAGCAGCCTTTGTAACTGGGAGGTCCAAGCTGGGCAGAATACAGAGCAGACGTGCAAAATTTGTATTTTAGAGATTCATCTGGTATTGTATATAACATCATCCAAACATTCATTCTGAGCTTAAGTGGTACTCATTTCTTAAGTAAATAAAACAGAACACATACCAAATGGATTATGGATGATAAAGAATGATCTTAATTCAGCCAAGCTGAGAATACTGTGGCACTGTAGAGGTATTGATGTAGAATGCAGGCAGCCAGTTGACCTCACCCAAAAAAATCTACTGTGAACAGAACTTGCTAAACTAATTAACTGATACCTGAACTACTTCTGTTCATCGTCTCTCTGGTTACCAGGATATATACACACACCTACCACTATGGCACTAGGGGAAGCGACCACTAGCATTGTGCTTCTCTCTGCCCCTATGCACAGGGCTGGCATTCCTTGCTCTAAAGAAACTAACCTTAGGAGGCAGACATATAAAAAAAAATGTCCTAACTCCCCAACTTCACAATGCTTTTCATCACCCACCAGGTTAGCCACAAAATATATATAACTTCAGAGGAAAAATGAAGTTAGTAGCCTGAGTACTTCCATAATGAAAACCAAGTTCTGCTCTGCTGGCTTTTATTAAAAACAAAAAGTGAAAATAAAACCAACCCACACACACACACACACTGGAAGCACCACCTGCAATTAATTTGAGAATTAGGAAAACGCAGTTTTTAGTCCTCAGTGCTATTTGAAATGGTATGACAGAACTAATAGAGAAAAGCACATCAGGGACTTCATCATGTGAAAAAAATTAGGCTTTGATTAATTTAAAACAGCTGGTATATATTATAGCTCATTTAAATTCAGAATTGCTAGAGCAGTCCTAGTGAAGAAAAAACATCACCCATGCTTCATGTGCCAAAATCCTAAAAGCCACAACAGAGGATAGACACAGAATGGATTGAGACCAGCTCTTGGAGGACTTAGGGCTGTTGGTGGATGAGAAGCTCAACAGAAACGTGCATCTGCAGCCCAGAACACCTCCCTGAGCCCTGGGCTGATCCCCCAGCATGAGCAGCAAAGGAGGGGGCGATTCTGCCCCGCTCAGGTGAGACCCCACCTGCAGGGCTGCCTCCCACCCTGGGGCACCACTGCCGGGGCCGCTCTGCCCGCAGCGCTCCGGGCTCCGTGAGAACATCCCGCGGACAAAATCACAGAATCAACTGCGTTGGAAAAGACCTCCAAGATCATTGAGTCCAACCTATGACCAAACACAACCTTGTCAATCACAGCACCGAGTGCCACGTCCAGTCGTTCCTTAAACGCTGCCAGGGAATCCACCACCTCCCTAGGCAGCCCCTTCCCATGCCCAATAACCCTTTCTGTGAAGAAATTCCTCCAGACGCCGAACCTGAACCTCTCCTGGCATAGCTCAAGACTATACCGGCTTGTCTTATCGCTTGTTCCCTGGGAAGAGAGCCCGACCCCCACCTGGCTGCACCCTCCTGTCAGTGAGTGACAGAGATAAGGAAGGACACCGAGCCCCGAGCCCTGCCAGCCGTTCAGCCCGGGCCTCGCACCGCGCCCCCCGCCCCGCCAGGCCGCGGCCTGCGCGCAGTCCACCGCCCGCCCGGCTCCGCAGCGCTCACTCACAGCCCCGTGGTGCCGGCGGGCAGCGGCGGAATCCTCCGCGGGCCCGGCCCGCCGGGCAGGCGCTGCCGGCTGCAGTCCAGCAGGCCGCGGCGGCATGAGCAGGGCGCGGCGCAGGGTTCGACGGCACCCGCCCGCGCACACAGCGCTGCTGCCGCCGCTAGCAGCAGCAGCAGCGGCAGCAGCGGCGGCGGCGGACGGCCCCGCGGCAGCGCCCCGCCGGCGGCCCGCACGGCCGGCCCCGCTCCCCGCATCCCCCGGCCCGGCCCGGCCGCGCCGCCCCGCCCGGAGCCACCGCAGCGCGCAGGCGGAGAGGGGCGGGGCTTGATCTGACCCCGCCCCTCGCCGCCCTCCGGATGATATCCCGACCCGGGCTGGGCGGGGCCGGGAGAGCGAGGCACCGCCTCAAGCCCCGCCCAGCGCGCGCGGCGGGGTGCGCAGGCGCGGGGGCGCCGCCGCGGCCCGGGCGGCCGTGAGGGAGGGGCGCGGGCGAGGCCGCTACAAGCGCCTCCCCAGCAGCACTTCCATTAGGGGTTGTAAGGGGAAGGGCCGGGAGAGTCTCTGGAACAGCCTCAGCTTGCAGTCGGGGAGGGTGGGTGTTGTCAGCAGCTTCGTTTCATCCGTTTGCAACGTCAGCTTGTGTCAGTGGGTGTCTGCAGCGAGCGGTCAGATGACGCACTGTTGTCCCTTCCAAGCGGACCCGTTCTCTTTCCCCACGAGCTAGGTGCTGCCGTGAGGGTGTCATCCTCTCCCTGGGCTGTGCGTGCAGCGCACCTGTGCTGAGGTGTCCTCTCACAGACACCTCACAGGTGTCCCCAAGACTGTGCGGCTTCACTGGCACCGTGGCCTGGGTCTGTGCTCCAATAGCCAGCGTGAGGGCAAACAGACCTGCAGGGCTTCACCTGGATCGTGCTGGCATTGCCAGCACCCAGCCTGGCTACCAACACCTGGGCACAGACCAAACCACTGGCTGTGTGCCAGTCCTGTCTGCTCTCTGCAGCCCCTCCATGCCATTCACATCCTGACAGGGCTCTCAGGCTGCTCCCACACCCCACTGCCATGGCCATGGCCTCCAGGTTGGCCAAGGTCACAGAATCATTTAGGTTGGAAAAGACTTCCAAGATCATCGAGTCCAATTTGTGACTGAATACCACCTTATCAACTAGACCATGGCACTAAGTGACACTTCCAGTTCTTCCTTAAACACCTCCATGGATGGTGTCTCTTTGAGCAGCCTGTTCCAATGTCTAATCACCTTTTCTGCTGTTACAGAGTGTCCAAAGGAGGGATATGGAGATGGTGCAAGGTCTGGACGGGCCATTAGGAATTGCTGAGATCACTTGGCTTGTTCAGCCCAGAGAAGAGGACTCTGAAGTCAGACCTCATCAGCATCTGCTGCGGCTTCCTCCCGAGGCCAGCAGAGGTGCAGCTCCAATCTCTGCTCTCTGTGACCAGTGACAGGACCCAAAGGAATGTCTGGAGCTTTGTCAGGGGACAGTTAAAATGGATATTAGGAAAAGGTTCTTCCAGAGGGTGGTCGGGCACTGAACAGGCTCTCCAGTGAATGATCATGGCCCCCAGGCTGCCAGAGCTCAAGGAATGTTTGGACAACGTTCTCAGGCAGAGGGTGGGATTTTGGAGTGTCCTGTTCAGGGCTAGGAGTTGGACTTGATGAACCTTGTGAGTCCCTTCCAACTCAGGATAGTCTTTATGATCTGTGAAAAAAGGGCTGAGCAAGGACAGGGAAGATGCCAGTGGGAATCTGCTGCCTGCATCAGGGTGGCCACTGGCAGTGCTGCCCTGGCTTTCCAGGGCCACAAGCTCAGAGGAGCTCAATTAGGAGAATCTGCTTAGGCTTAGACAAAGTCCAGGGTCCAGCACAGGTCTTTCCAACAATAGTTGCCAGTGCAATTTGAATTTATAAGGTTATTGCCATGGCAGCAGAAATTTGCATATTAATAGAAGCCAGACTTAATTGCTGAGCTGCTCCTAACATCTTGGAGCAGAAAGGAGCCTGCTGTGATTCACTAAGCTACAACTGCCACTACTGGGGGCCCTGCCTTCTCAGTCAATTCCCTTAAAACTCTCTCTCCTGCTTCCTCTGCCAGTCCATCACAGCTCCAAGATCTGTGCAGCTGCCCACAGTATCCATTTCGATATGACATCCCTCTGAGGGTCCTCTGGGATGATGCCTCTGGAATCTATTTGCCCACACAGGGCTAGTGCTATACACAGAACACCTCCTGTGTGCTCAGGTTTGCCCACAGGTGTTTCAAAGCCCAGTCCTGCTCACCATGCTAAAGTGGGCACAAGCCCTTGCAGAGCAGGTAGCAGTGGCACACCCGAGAGTATACCTGAAACAACCCTGCTGGAGGTAATCCCAGCCCAGCCAGTGTCAGTGTGGTTTAAAATGGAGAAGGCTCTCGATCCCTTTCCTGTCCCTGGCTGGGACAAGACAGATGGAGTGGTCAGGGACTTGCCAAGGAAGAACGTCTCCCTGGGATGAGGAGTCTCCCCACTCCCCAGCACAGGTCGATCCTGGATCCCTAGGGTAGGTGCAGGGGGTTTTGCTGCAGCCCAGCCCGGCTCATCCCCCTCGGGCCACTTTCCTGCCCCAGCACCTCGGCTGCTTCCCTGAGCATTTGAGGGGAAGCCTGGGATCCTGCTACAGCAGCAGGAGTCTCCCTGCCCCTGCCAGGAGCATCGTTGGCCTGGGCATGCCCCCCCGGCTGGGCGGCAATGGAGACTTAGCACATCCCACTGCTGTCTGCAGCTTCTACGGCGAGATGCTGTCCAGGCTCTAGCTCAGCATGGTTCTCTCCTTCGCGGCACTGAGCGGCAGCGTGGGAAGGCTTGGACTGTGCTGGAGTTGAGCCTTCGCCACTGGATGGCACACGAGTCCCAGCACAGGAGCCTGGGTGGCCTTGGGGTGCTGAGCAAGGCGCTGCCGGTTGCGGGCGGGGGCTGCCGGAGGGTGCTGAGAGCTGCGGGAGCTGCCAGAGGTGCTGGGCTCCCATGGGCTCCCATCTGCTAACTCCACGCCGCCCTCGGGACTGTCGGTGGCTGGGTCGGAGCAGGACTCTGACCTTGACTGAACAGTATCTGCCGCACCTCCAGCTGGGCGTCCAGCCGCTCCTCAGGAGCATACAATTTTCTTCCTGACTAGCACTCCCTCCAGATAAGGCTGAGCTTACCGCCCTGGTCCTTGCAGGCTGGAAATTCAGAGAGGTTTTTAAACCTGCTGGCCTTGACAAGCACAGCCTGAAATGAGCTCTTTATACCGTTCTGTGTGCCAATGCCACTGCTGGAGGGCAGAGGATGCCAACCTGGCCAATAACTCACAATAAAAACTCTTCTCTCCCCCAAATCTGTGACCAGCCACTTTTGTATCTGCCCCTGTTTCCTTCTCAGCCCTGTTCTCAGCAGCACAGAGGTACCTCTGCATCCCTCTACATCTCCACCACCATCCAGGCAGTGCAGGGTGGCCTTATGCTGTGGGATGCCCAGTGCTGCAGTGCTGGGATGGGGCAGTGCCAGATTCCTCAGGCTGTGGCTCTCCTGTGGGATCACCCTGCCCCAGCTTCTCTCTGGTGCTGCACCTCATCAGCTGTGCCGCAGGTCCCTGTGGCCCAGCTGTGCCCAGGAAAGTGAGCGGACAGCCAGAGGAACAGACAGGTTGTCTCTCTGCTGCGCTTGGCCCCATTGTTCTCCCACGGCCACTGTGTCAACAGGAACTGAAAGAGGAAACAGGGGCTAAGGAGATGCCAAGACCCCTGCTGCTCAGGGAAAGATAAGGAGGGAGGGGGAATTTATATACTGTCCAAGGGTGGCGGATACAGGAGGTTCCCCTGTGGTGCAGAAGAGGGACAGCATTGTGTCCCCAGATAGCTTTCCATGTATCATGCTGAGTGTGGGCAGTGACTGGGGAAGCATGGGATGCTTGGGTGGTGGTTTAAGCCAAATGTTTAAAAACATTGAAGTGATTTGTCTGTGAAGCTTTGGGGAGGGCTGGCACCATGGGCAGAACTCCATCACCCACAGACCCTCCTCATGGCACAGAGATGGCTGAGCTCTGGCTGGGGTTTTTGGAATGTTTCTGTCTCTTCCAGTCCATTCTCAGGGTGTCTGCACCATCCCAGAACCCTGAGAGATGGGATGCAAATTGGTCATCCTGGCTGTGTCTGCCCATAGCCCCAGTATCCAGGCTACTGCACTTCCTGGGAGGAAGGGATGAGTGCCAGGGTGTTGGTGGCACTGCTGCCTCCCCAGACGCCCCCAGGATGCAGCAGTCTGCTGTGCATCTGCTCCAGGAGCAGGACACTAACCTTCTTACATCCACTCTGCCAACAAACCAGGAGGGAACTTTGAACTTTGTCCTTGAAAGGGGTGACAAAGCCCAAAGAGCAGTAGCCATGGGCCTCCAGGGCTCACAGGTCTTGCTTGGAGCACACACGGGAGGCACCCCCATTGCCTCAATCTCCTTCCTGGTTCCCAGTCTATGGGTTTGGTGGCCAATGGACCACCAATCTGCAGCTGCTGATGGGCAGCAGCCGAGGAGATGCTGTGCCTGTGTCCTGGACCTCTCCAAGTGCAGCACCTGCATGTCTTTGCAGACACCCACTGTCTGTCTGGGAACCAGAGCCGAGCTTTGGCACTTCCAGTCGTGTGTGCTGGAGCTGGGCACTACTGCCTTGTCCAGTCCTGTAGGTTTGTAGTCATGTCTGATCAGGGTCACATTCACAACATTGTCAAAAGCCCCCAACACCCCCACAGCCTTCCAGATGCCCCGAATCCACACCCTCCCGGTCATCAAGTGCTTCCCAGGAACAGTAAGGAGATCTCCAGGCCTGTTTTTCCAGGGAAATCACTGCAACACAATAGCATCTTCAGCTGGAGTGTGGCTTGGTTCCACTGACGTGTGGCCAACACCTACAGCCCTTCCTCTCCCTCCCAGCAGTTTGTTTTGTTTCCTTCAACATTTATAGGTCAGCTGAAGTCAAGAGAGCTAATGACTGGGAGCATGGCCCCAGGAACTTCCCAGGCTCTTATGGACTAGGAACAGGGTGGGATGAAGACGGGGCATGTTTCAACAGCACACAGCTGATTTGGGAATCCCTGCATT